AGTCCCTCACTAAGGCCCCAGCCCCCCAACTAAGGCTCCAGCCCCCCCACTAAGGCTCCGGCAGTGACAGCTACATGTCCCGTTCTTAGCCACCGGCTTCCGTGACTTCCGAGAAAGTTAAAGGGCTGGCGGGAGAGCCACAGAATATAGCGATACAGGTGCTTATTTTAAGTCCTTTTTCTATTAAACGTAAGTTATCACCTGTGACCTATGTCACTTTCCCCAACCAACTCCCAAACCTCCACCTTCGGGGCGGAATCAGTGTTGGGGCCATTCGTGCCACCTTTCCTGTAAAAACTGAACTAGGAAGTGAAGAGACCGCTCCCGACACGGCCCGGCCGGTGCTCACAGCACAGACCTGCAACCGTGGGCATCCCCAGGGAGTCCCCGCACGGCCTCTCTTATTCCCGCCCCGGCCGCTGCCTGGAGGAGGGAACCTGCATCTGAAGTGACGGGGGAGGCAGGAGTCTGGGTTCTGGCATGTGCTGGAGACTCTGATGCATCTACACCAAGGCTGGCCACCCGAGAGGCGGGGAGGTTCCAGGAGGCCGGCTGCGGGCTGCGCTCAGGGCATCACCAGGGCACCTCCAGGGCACCTGGTTCAAGGTACCCGGCTCTTGGTGGCTGGCAAAGCTCCCCAAGAACAGCCACGCTCCCGGGGGCAGGTCCACACCCTGAACGGCGGGAATCTGCTCCATGATATCCAGGTGTGGGGGGGGGGCACCTCTCCAGCGCCCCCTGGCGCTTTACTTGGGAGGGTAAATAGTGTGCGTAGCTCTTCATGCTTTTCCCACGGGTATGGGTCCTCAAACTGTAAACAGTGCTGTGTGGTCCAGAGGCCGCTGACCTGGCAGTGGTCACGTCCCACTGGTGTCCCTGAATCTCGCTGCCACCCGCACGCGGACAGACGCCAAGCACAGCGGACACGTGTGCGGACACCTGCTGCCTCAGGGTCCAGGAGGTAGAAGAAGCTGAGTTGCAGCCGCTCGTCCACCAGCCTCAAGAGCTCCGGCTGCAGAGTCCCCCCTCCCTGCAGCGGGTCCGAGCCACGGTCGTCCCGGGAGGCAGCACCCGCCCAGACCAGCAAGGGAGGCTCAGGTGTGTGGAAGTTCGTCGGGGTCCACCTGGGCCCCCGAGTC